TTTACGTAGACACATGGATAAAATAAACTCTGCGGAAATAAAAGTGCGATGAGCGATGAGCGTGCGGTAATACATGGCAATATTGCCCCCCTCCCCCAAAGCGTTCAATCCCAACCCAACCCGATAGTTCTCCTTCTACTTTCCCTGATGCAAAGTCCCGCAAGTTCGTGGTGTGCGAATCGGTGCCTCCCCACCCCCTCCTCCCTCCCACGTGACCCAACAACTCGGCTCACTTCGACTTCGACCCAAGCTTGAGGCTTTTCGGCCAACGGGAGAAGAAGCAACCAAGGCCGGAACCCTGAACTCGCCTCTACGTAGATCGGCGAAGCTTAACGCGACGACAGTTCTTGCGTGTTGGTGCTTGACCTCAATGCAGTATGTACTTTCCTGGCGCCCGTTCTCTGTCGCCAGCCTTCCACTCCTTCACAGCTTCGCCGTTCATATACCCATCGATAAAGACGTCACCCACATACCGCCACTCCCCATGATTCCCCTCTCTCCGCAGGATAATCGGTGTACTGCACCCCAGTGGCACGACAATGATATCCCCTGGGGTCATGAACCCAGACCCCATTCCCATCAGGCCATCCTCTGTCTGACAGAAACAACGACCCATCATTTTCGAACCAAAATGCTTCTGTAGGAAGCCGCGTCGATCCTTGGGATTGACCTCCACCTTTGTGTCTAGATAGAGCTGGAGATCAGTGTCGAGCTTGATGCGTGGCAGGCGTTCGCGCAGAAGAGACGAGAAGACGTGATAGCATGCTACTCGCCAACCATCATCGTCCCACTCTGGTGGTACCTGACCCAGACTCAGAGTCCTGCAGAATTCGTTTTCGACTTCGACGGATACCAGGTCGTCTCCATCGTCGCCATAGTCATCGGCCCCTCCTACAAGCAAGGCTCGCCAATGCAGGAATGCCATAACTAGAGATCAAGGACAAGAATTAGCACGGTTCATCAAAGCAGACGGATGACTGGACATGTGAGGCGACTTCGCAAGGGCAGCCCCGGTAGCTTGGATACGACAGGACCTATTCATCAAGCCTTATTCATGCTCTTGGCCACCCCTTGTTATTTTCCTCGTAAAATGATGAGAGAAACGTACGGTAATCAGCCAGGGTACACAGGGTCCCTACAGCGATACCATGCGTAGTGATAGTATCGACGTATATGGCCGAAATCTCAAGTTTGTTGCGACGCTCATCCACAAACCTATACTCAGCTCTCGTGGTGCCCGACGCGGAGAAGTCGTAAATGCTGCCCAATGCAGCTGTTTGAGGACTGTGGGACCAATCAGGGGCCCAGGTTGGCAGATTAGCAGAGTTGGTGTGAACTGGGAAATGGATTGACTCGCAGATAACGTCGAGATACTCGGTAGTAGAGAGCAGGTAATCAACTACATCGATGTAAACCTCTCGGACTGAGAGACTGAGATCCACAGGGAACTCGCTGCGGACTGTTTGGGGCAGTACGCCCAGAATGCCATAGACTTTGTCGCGCGGATCCGAAGTTATCTTCCTTCGCAGTGCGCGCATAACGTGGAGGAGGGACTCATCACCGAGTTCGGTAAGCGAGCCTAGTTCAGGAAGACTTCCAGGACCTTGATACACGAGAGCTTGCGAAAAGCTAGATTGGTTTGGCGAATGCCTCTGGCCTCGTCGCTTGCTAGTCTGGAAATAGTAGTCCAGATCATTCTTGTGACGCTGGAAGACAAGCGAGGCTTTCTTGTAGACAGACCAATGAAGTACGGTCCCGCAGTATACCCATATGTCTTTGGCGTTCAGAATTTCTTGCACAACCTGATAGCGGTCAGTCATGTTCAAGAACACAAGGGGGACGATGGGATCCACGGAAGGCGCAAGACTACGTATCACATACCCACAATCGTCGCCAGTAGTCCCTTTCAAACAGCGAAGCTATGGCAGCAAAATCCGCGTCTCCAACCCGGGCCTTTATCAACGAAGTGATGCGCTCCGGATAGTCGGCATTTGTAGATATCTCGTTCAGTAGTTTGACAGCCGAGTCGCTCTCATCGGCTTCCGGGCCAAGCCATAACGCAACCGAGTCGGCTTTGCTGTAAATACTTGTCATGTACTGCAGTTGCTGTGCTTTTTCATCTCGGTTTTGCTGGTCAATGCACAGAAAATCGACCCACACTAGCACACCCTCCTTTTTCTCTCTCAAGGCTTCCAAAGCCCCATGTAGACTGACTGGAACTGGGATATTCATGCCTTCCAACATAATCTTGCGGGTGTCGCCTGCGTCGCCCCGTGCGTAGGATATGGCGCGATATGAAGGAGGCTTCTTGAGCGAGAAGTGAAGCAGCTCGCACTTGATAGTCATCATCCGCGCTGGTAAAATTCTAATCAGGCGAAAGTCAAAGTCGCCTAGTGGTTTGTACTGATAGGCCTTGTCTCCAAGGGTTCCAGAAGAGGATGTGACGGATGGTGTGGGCCTGTGTGCTATCGATGGTCGATGCAGCGTCTTATGATGAGGCTGTGATGCTCCCGATCCAGAATCATCGGGTGCTATCGTTGCAGGACCAGACGGAAATGCGCCGGGAACCGAAAAAGAGGTCGTCCCATCTGGCTCTGGAATAGTTCCACGAGTCTGTCTTCCTTTCGGCGGGTGGTTCGTCACCGAATAATAGGATTGGTCATCTTCGTGTACTCGATATGGTACATGCGGACTACTCTGACGCCGCGATCGGGAGACATTTTCCGACTTCCTACGCTGGTTTACTGGTGGTGGTGGCGATGGGGTTCGTTTGAAGTAAGAGCCAGGCTTGTCATACTGCGTAGAGTGCGGGCGAATCTCAACTCGTGGGGGAGATGGCACTCGGTGATAAGAAGCTTTAGGTGGAGACGGTGCTCTATTGTAGGATCCTGTTACTGATGGACTTGGATGCAAGTCCTCGCCCCTGGGCATTGCATATCCAGGAAGCTGATGTCCATGGGATGGTGACCTTTGATGGGTACTGGAAACAGACTTCCTTCGTCTCCGGGTCGGGCCAGCATCTGGAGATACGTTGCGCTCCGAGAGAGCATGAGACGCAGCCAATCTGTCTTGTTCCTTTCTTGCCCACTCGATCCGCTTCTGACTCTGTCCCTCGGATCGAATAGGCCCAGTGTCATAATCATCCACCTCTTCTTCAGACAACGGCTCGCCAGCGCCAGCAGATTGCCTGAAAAAGCTGGAAGGGGATGGAACGTGCTTTCTCGACGGGTGTCGATTATGGCGCCCAACGGGTTCTTCTCCAATCACAAGTGGGATCAAGAATTCATCCGCACGGTATCGAGACGGCGGTGGTGAAGGGACACGTTTTGGTGACGGGACGCGTTGTGCTAGTAGTGATTGTTATTCGAGATATTACCTCCATATTGCTACGAGAGATGATTGGTACCTAATCCCGGTGCAAGCCCGTAAAGGTCTGGTCTGGTCTCGTCGTCGGAATGGTAGCTGCGATGCAACGATTGTCGCCTGGGGAGACCAGGATTTGACACATCTCTCGATCTAGGACTTCTCGTCGAACGCGGACGCCCTAGAGGGTTGCCAGGAGCGAGAAAGTGGCTGTCTGGGTCGCCGTACTCATAACGCTCATAGCCAGCCTGTTCCCACTCGGCCATTCCATGGACTACTCGGAAAGAAATCGCAAAGAAAATGTATAATTAGAAGAATGTTCTGTACAAAGTATATCTGCGGTATGAATTCCGCGTACACAACGTTGTCAAAGTATGGATGCCCGGTCTTCGGAGTGAGGGGCACAAGGAACATCCTAGACGCCAAGCCTTTCTAGGTTTCTCCGCTCCGAACCCAATGCGTACAGAGTACCTTTGTATCACAACACGCAATGCACCAATTACCCAAGTAACGCTCTGATGGGGTGCCAGCAGGATCGACATGGTTTTCTTATTAGCTACCTTCATCATAATTGTTACCTTTGCAAGCAATTTACCATTATTCCCAACGCTAGAAAACAAGGAAGATGATTGGTCGTTCAAAGCGGCGCTAGCGAGCGATACGAGCAATGTCATTGGTCTTTGAAAAGGCAGGTAACGTGACGCTGGAAAAATCATCACACCTCAGCGTTTTATAGATAATCATTAACACTTAATAGAAAATAACTTATTATAGACGAAATGTTAACACTTGATAGGTATTAAAGTTTGATGTTAACTCTTGTTGCTGTAATTAATCAGTTAAGCTGAAGGAATTGTAGTAATAACAATATTACGAACAATCTTTTACGGCGTTACGTGCAGAATCATTGAAAAATATAAATTTTGTATAGAGCTTCGTTTTCACAAGTTTACAACAAGTAAACATACAGTAGACTGTACATTTGCTAGCTTTGAATCTTTGTACCGTAGTAACATACGACGTATAGGTCAAACACCATTTGAATCGAGGATATGTGCTGTAGTAAGCATGAACTTTCTCAGACCACGGCGTCTACCAGCGACTTACCAGTGTAGTATAGATCCTGTGGTAGTTACAGATGCGCTCTTATTTCACTATCTATTAAAGAATTGAATTATCAATAGAGGAGAAGGGTGTTCGATTAATGTATGTATACATACAGAGTATACACAATGGGTGCGCCTTACTAGCGCTTACCTTGTTAATCAGATCCGTCTATGTACAGCGATTGTCTTATTAACAATAAGACACTAATTAGCTTTCTCAACACCATCTATTTAGATAGGGTTTAGCGCCGTGTCGCATCCTGAGTGTCTGCGTCTCATCCAAGTGTTCAACAAATATGGCCTTCAAACTGGTTTATTAGAAAACCGTCTCTCTTCAACTCGATACATCTCACTCTATCTCGCACCTTGTTCCCACTCCCAACCATGGCGTACTACACAGACCGATGGAAAATGGCACACAAGAGCCATCGAGAAAGAATCTCGGGTACGTTGAGACTTACCATGTACCTACGACTCTGTGCAGTGGTCTGATAACTGAGCGCAGGTGGGGACAGAATGCAAAATCCTGTCTTCAATCTCTGCCCATCACGGGAAGAGTACGGCGCTGGTGTCGAGAACATGGTTGCGTGCCCAACTTGTGGTGAATTTACTATCGTTTGCTGCCAACACCCTAACAAAAAGATGCCACCGCCACCGCCTCATCATGGTCGATGGAGCATGCGCGGACAACGGAACTCCACAAGCTCGGGCTGGAATGGGCGCAATCTGGGGTAATGACGAGGAGTCATGCTACAGCAGGGAGATATCGGAAGAGAATGATGCTGGCCAAAAGCGGTCCAACCAGCGAGCCGAAGTTCTTGCAGCTATCCACGGTCTGACGGCATTTAGTGAATGGGTTTCGGACTCGATGTCTTAGACTACTAACGAACCCTCGCCGAAATGGATTGTCGCAAGCGACTCGCAGTACATGGTCAAGGGCATTACCGAGTGGCTGCCGAGGTGGAAGGTATGTTTTCCAATGTCCAAAAGACGATTTCGTAATTCAAAAAATTCTCGCTTACGCAAAACCATTCAAGGACAACGGTTTCAAGACAAGCCAGGGACAGACGCCTGCCAATCTCGATTTGTTTCTTGCGTTGGACGACAAGATCAGTGACTTGGAGGCACGCTTTGACTGCGAGGTGGGCTTCTGGTCCATCCTCCGCAAGTATAATTCGAGAGCTGATGCTCTTGCTCGTCAAGCATCCTTACTTGCGGAGCCTGGTTCGGTCGATTTATTACATGCAGAACGGGTATATACTAGTCCGATATATTATGTAGGTGCAGCAGGTGCATTATGGCTAGACAAAGCATCACCTTAGCCCTGCAAGCATGGCACTCGGCACATCTTTCGATAATACACGTTGGTCGAGTATGAGCTTATCATTTATAATAGTGTAATTGCTGCTAAACGCCGAATGCTAAATGCCAAGTCCCTTACATTACATCCACATATGCATCCAAACTGACGAAAAAAACTCTAAAAATGTAGAGAAAGTACAGAGGGACAGAAACTGACGTTGTAAATTTAGTTATTAGTACTAATACTGCAAGTACATTAACTTACACTCTGCTCTGCTCTGTATTGTACATCCCAGCGATAAAAGAAAAGGAAAAAAGAAAATCAAAGATAGCATAGCTAGAGAGGGACAGGAGAAAGAAGCAAGCACGGTAGCAGATTTGTAGAGCATATGCCTACCTAGTGCTGCCGTTGTTGTCTAGCTAGCTGCTTTAGGCATGCGTAGCGCTAACGCGTTAGGGTTAGATTGAATTTTAGTACATACAGTATATATATATCTGTGTATGTGTGTGGCGAGCTGAGGGAGGGGGGATACGCACAATACCGTGTTGAAGGATAGTAGTAGCAAAGTGTGACGAGGGGAGCTCGAGAATTTCAAAGCATGCATTGATGTGATAATAGACGGAGACGGCTAAGCTCGTGGTATCTATCGGCGGGTGCTATTATTGACAATAGATGGAACAAGATGATTGCTGCGTAGGAGGGAAAATTATATACCATCATGTCACAAGACTGGAAGAAAAAAGAAAAACTCCTACTATTTATGGCCCCTGAGTCTGATCGAACATCTTGCCCAAGACGTCCTTGATGGCGGGATTGCGCCACGCGGTCCAGTCTGTGTTCAGTAGTCCCCACGACTCTTCCAAATCCACCTCGCCGTTTCTCACATAGTAGTTGCCCTGGATGGCCCACAACGCCCAATCCCCGTCGTTGCCCGTGACGTACTCGACCAGACACTTGAGGTAGTCGTAGTCCTCCTGGGAGCCGATGCCGAAGCGTTCGGGCGGTCCGCCCGTCATGCCGACGCCGAATTCGGAGAGCCAGAGGGGGCCGGTGTAGTCTTTTCCTTCGGACAGGAGAAAGCCCGTGGAGCCGCCGACTGTGGTCTTCCAGACGGTGCAGGATTTGAACGAGGCGATCCACGGTGGGGAAAACGTGTATGCGTGCCATTCCCAGACTACTTTGTTGCCGTATGCGGACCGGTCGAGGGGGCTGTTGCGCAGGAAGGATGCATCGGTAGAGGAGAGCGTGCCGCCCATGACGATCAAAAGGTCTGGGTTTGCCGTGTGCACCGAAGTCGCGCCCTGGGCAATGAATTTGTACCAGTCGCTCCTATTCTGTACAACGGGCACCTCGCGAATCTCATTACGCAGACCAATGCCAGCAACGGCGGGATGGTCCTTTGCGAAGGTGGCGATGGCGGCCAGCCCTCTGTTCCAGTTGTCCGTGTTGAAGAAGCGCGAGTTGGACTCGACGTAGAGGGAGCCCTGATCCCACCAGCCGTTGCCGTCGTCCAGGTTGCAGCACCACGAGGCATGCGAGACGTGGTTGTCCAGGATGACGCGGATGTTGAGGGTGCCGAGCGTGTCGATGACTTTGCCAAAGGCTTCGCTGACACTGGCATCTTCGATCCAGAGATTGTTCCGCTTCACGCGGGTCCATAGATCGTCGACATCGGTCTCGTTCGCTCCCGTTCGCCCTGCGAGGGTGGCAAAACTGTCTCTTACTTTGAGGCCTTGGTCCAAGGCCATGTCGATACTGAAGGTCAGGCGCACGCAGTTGAAGCCGGATTCAGCGACAATCTTTGCAATGTTCTCGACAGAGTTATGCTGGAGTCCCTCGGGGATAGACGCTTCCATGTGGCCGGCCCAGTTAATGCAGCGAAACTTGAAGCGCTTCTCGGCAGAGTCGACGATCCATCTTGAAGAGGTGTGGAGGGGTTCGAGCTGTGCGAGGGCGGTGGTTGCCAGCAGCAGAGTTGTGGGTAGTACGGAGAGCAACATGGTGGTGGAGTGATGGTTGTGGTATTAATGGTAGGGAATGAGGTTGTTTATCATCTTTTACCTGTGTTGCAGACACGGGACTCTTTTTATTTCTTTTTTGTTTGCTTCGGTGCTGTAATAGGTAGCGGAAACATGTAATACATTGTGTATAGCTGCTTCATTCGGATCTAGCCTCGCACCCGGATGTCATAAGCCTCGTTGTGACCCCTGTCGGCGACCTGTAGGGCGACTGTCACCTTCCTGTAGAGGAGAATAAGCGAGCGTTGCGAGCGACGGAAGAGGAAACCAAGAATGCGGAGATGAAGAACTTCGGAGTCTTGTCCCACGGAATCAGTCATGTATATATAGGACACACACACGCGGGGGGCCGCAAAAAGGAAGCTAGACGGCGAGTCTTGATGAAGAAGAGGAAAGAGTCTTGTTGATGTGAATGAGGAAAACAAGCCACTCGAGACGTGCGCCTGGTTTTGTCGCCATATATCCTCGTCGTGAGTTCGAGCAGATGTGATGATGAGAAACAGCATCAACGTCCTGAACAGATCGAGACCGACGCTTGCGATGGGTCGACATGTTGCGAATTGCGGTTGGGAGGCATAAGCAATAGATCGACCATGGGCGCACTAGTAGGAGCAGGTCGAAAGGAATGGTATGCGCTGTCCTTGTTTTGATTTGCGGAGACTCACCTTGGCCTGTGTCTATACCGTCGTCAGAATAGATGGAAAGATGGATGAATACATGATAATTAGATGCTGTCCTCGACGTGGCCTCGCACGTGCCTTGAGTGATCTATACATGGCCCGTGCGTGACAATCCATCTACATACGAGACGAACGTTCATCTATATCATCAGACGAAGGAAGGAAAAAATAAAAAGAAAATCGGTAAATATTACAAAACACAAATAAGACTGTAAAAACAAAGAACATTAGACGAAGGAAAGGGGGGGGGGGGAAATACGAGAAAGAGAAGAGCACAAGAGTGGAAAGAGATAACTAGCATCTGACTACATATGTACTAGGGCCACTCACATTTGATATATGAATGGCCGACTGATGTCAATACATAGATAGCGTGCGACGCTCCATGTCAGACAGTCATGTTATAATGCCTATTGATAATGCTGATGTTCATACTCTTCTACTATGCTGACGTTGTGCTGGGTAGTCTGCATCGTTTCTGATCTTTTTGATCCATTCGAATCATCATCTTTATTATTTGATCCCCTTTCGCAGTACATAGGCCTCTCCACGAATGCTCTCCATCTACCCTACAATCCCATCGACAACCCACACGCTCCCCTCCTTCCTCTGCACCACTCTCCGCACACCCAAGCCCCATCCCTGACTCCCGCTCTCGCCGACTAAACTCAGCTCGACTTCGCATTCTCGCTTCCCCCGTTCCATATCCACAATCGTGCCCTTCGGCTTCGACACACTTAGGAGCGGCGTGCCGAGCGTCATGTTGATGATTTGGTTCCGCGTCACGGGCGTCAGGGCATGGAATCGTGTCTTCGGCGTACGCGAGGCGTTGATAGAGCTCGGTGCGGCGCGTTGTAGGTGAGAGTATACGAGGAAGCCGGGGAGTTTGGACGGCGGCGTGCGGGAGAGGAGAGAGGAGGGGTGTAGGTACACACATGCCGCGCCTGCATCATCACCCTTTGCCCGGTCCAGTGTAGACGGGAAGAGCGTCACGTACGGGACATCGACTGCCGACTTCGGCTTCCGGCCCAGCTCTGGTGGAAAGGGCGCCAGATCAGCCCGCATGGCTATCTGGTCGATGAAGCCCGCCGCGCAGATCTGCCTTAGTAGATTTATGTTCTTCTCTGTCGGTGGAGGAAGTTGTGCGGTGTAGGCGCCGAGGGATGTGGGACGGTGAGCACGGATGATGGTTGTGAGCTGTTGCCGGAGCAAAGTCGCTTCGTGCATGGATTTTGCGTTTAGGAACATGTCGTCGCAGAACTCGTCGGGGTTGGACTCGTGAGCGTACGCACAGATCGCGGCGTTGAGCTTCATGCAGTCTGCTTGGCCAGCGTTGGCGGAGAGTTTGCCTTGGGCAGCATTGTATGCCTTTCGCAGCCGGGAGCGCTCGGCATCGGCGAGGTTGTCTTCTTCGGTGCGGATGGGAGCGCGCCTAACCCCGTTCTCGTCTTCGTCGACGATGGTGGGTAGCACGGCTTTCGGTGTATGCAGACCGAGTTTGTTCTCGGGGATGATGAGCTCGGGGACGGAGAGTGCGGCCACGAGGGCGATTGTTTGCGCGGCAAGGTTCTGCGCTATGCCCATAACGAGCATCCGTGCAAAGCGTGGATTGAGGGGGTAAAGCGAGAGCTCGTGACCTAGGGGCGTTACCTTTCCCGAGGAAGACAGCGCGCCGAGGTATGAGAGCAGGCTTTCGGCTTTGAGCAGGTTCGCGCGATCTGGGGGCGTGGGGAAGGGGAAGTTGGAGACGGGCGCGCCCATGCTCTTCAGCTGGAGGACGATGCTTTCGAGAGGGGTCCGCAGGATCTCGGGTGCGGCGTACTCTTCGAAGTCGCGCTCGTAGACGGCGGACGAGTACAGGCGATAGCAGTGTCCCGGCCCTGTTCGTCCTGCACGACCGGCGCGCTGGCTGGCGCTCGCTTTGCTGATCCAGCCGACTTCGAAGCTTTGTACGCCTGTGATGAGATCGTATTTCTTCTCCTTTGCCCGGCCACAGTCAAAGACGTATCTAATTCCTGGAATCGTCAGACTGGTCTCGGCGACGTTGGTGGCAAGCACGATGAGACGGGAACCTTCTGGTGGTGGATCGAAGACGCGTAACTGCTGGTTGGTGGGTAGTTGAGAGTAGAGCGGTAGGACGTGGACCTTCAACACTGATGACTCGGCCTTTTCCTCGCCAATCTCGAATTCGGCGTCGTCTTCGTCGTTGTCTACACCCATGATCACCGAGTCATCGGAATCGGACCCATCATCGTCTTGGTAATCCGAATCTTTCTTGCCGAGCTCAATGTCTTCAGTCTCCAATGGAGCTTCTGCGGGTGATATTTGGACCTGGCCGACCTTGGCTTCGTGACCTTGACTTGAAGCGAATGTTTCTTTCAACTT